CCTCTAATGAGCCGATTACTATCACATAAACTTCAGACATCCTTGAAACAACTGAACACACTCTAAATGATGCCAGCAGTCTGAAACAAATAGCTGTACCAGAGTCATTTTGGGGCTGTCTACTAACAACATGTTATACTTACATCATAAAGAAAACAAAAAGAAACACTCATAGGAAGTGATACCATTTCCAGACAGAGAGCAACATGTGCCAATATTAGCTTTACTGGAGAAAAAAAAATCCAAAAATGTTTTTGGGTTGAAGTGTGCTCTTTTTAGATGCATTCCATTTTCATACTTGGCTGCCAGTTTTAAAAATTAACTTGGAGCCTGAGAAGTAAAAATCTCTTCTGCTGCTTGTCAGAAAGATGGCTCACATGGCCAAAACTGATGCTGCTCATGACTTTGTTCTGCTAAGTGATTTGGGCAGATAGGAAAATGCCAATTTGCAAAAAAAAACCCCAAGCCCCCAAACTGCCATAAAATAATTGAGTGGTAAATCTTCATTTGGAGATGGCACAGGGTACATAGATTTCTTTATGGCTTTGATTAGCCTGACTTGCAGAAGCAAAGCCTGTGTCCCCTTTGTGAAAGTCCAGATGATCAGATTGTTTTAGGCTTTGTGATTATTTTTTCTCATAGTAATAAATGAATTAAAAAAAAATAAACAGCTTAGGAGCATTTCAGGGCAGCCTGATTACTGCAATTATCTTTCTCTGAGCTTAGCTCTAGTTCCAAAATTGCATTAGTTGATTTTCCCAAATCTATCAGTGATCAATGGTCTCAGAAATATCTTTAGGCAGGCCAACATCTCGTAATACTCAAAATCACCCTATTTTAATTAAGACCGAATCACTGCTATCCTAAAATCCACAAATGCTTTGGTCATAGGGTTTCTTCCTTTGCCCTGAATACCTTGCTGACAAGAAACAGTCCCTGTGTGGTAGAAGGGTTGAGGTGGCTGGGGAAGCATGTCACTGCTTTAGCAATGGCCATCTGAAGATGCTGAAGCAGGACACATTTTTAATAACATTTTATCATCTTTTAGAAAGAAAAAAAAAAAACAAACCAAGCCTGGATTATATCTTGATTTGTGTTCCTGTGCTATCATACAAAAAGGGTGGCTGTCAAGAAGATGGAGACTACCTTTCCATAAGGAGTCACATGGAAAAGAGGAGGGGTAATGGACACAAGCTGTTCCTGGAGAGATTCTGATTGAACTCCAGAAGAAATTTTTTACCATGAGATCAATCAGACATTGGAGCAATCTCCAGCGGAAGTGGTGAATTGCCCTACATCAGCCAGTTTTAAGAATCAGCTTGACAGGGTGCTGACTCATCTCATTTAAACTATACTTTTACCTCGAGAGGTTGGACTGGATGGTCCTTGTGGTCCCTTCCAACCTCGTCTTCTATGATCTTTTTCCAGGGCAAAATGTTTAGTACGAGCCAGTACAGGGTGCAGATCAGAACAAGACTGACTTGAAAAGAAATCTGTTTGTCATAAACCGCTCTGTAACTCCCAGTTTCTAGAAAATTCCAGTAGTGTTACACTGGAAGTGGTGGGATTACATCTATGTGTCACTCCTTATGCAGAGCCTTCATGTATATGCAGTGACCATACATGTAGGAAATGAAAAAGAAATAGTGGAATTACTACGAACTGCTGCGGTTTTCCTCTGTGCAAGCTGCGCAAGGAGTGGTCTATGCCTGCTAACCTGCCAGTAATAAATTGGCACAAAATAAATCTCTTGCATTTCTGACCATCCAGTCTGCTATAGATTTGCCTGGTTACTGAAGTTCCAATCTTTTTTTTTTCCTTGGTAATGACAAATGATCCATCATGTAGTTTTTAATCACGTCTAGTGAGCACCAGTTAAGGATGTCTATTTAAGCAAAGAGGATGTTTCCCCAGAGTAACTTCTGTCTTTTCATTTCCAGAACCTCAGAGAGCTGTAGAAAATAATATTAATATGCAAAAGGAAATAAACTTTCTCAGTACAGTATTTCTCAGTAAACTAGTGAAGGGCCGAACAATGCAATTTTATTGCCAAAGAAAATGTGCATGCCCTTCATGACACTGGTGTTAAAAGGGCCCACTTAGTATGAAGGGCTTGCCAGCAACACCATGAAAAGTTTTATGTTAGCATAATGTTATGTAAGTAATTTCTCTCCTCTGTCAAGCTGGCAGTTTAGTAAGATGTCAAAAATATAAATAAACAGGCTTAGAACCTTGAATCCTTTCTCTTACAGCCCAATATCCCCACCAAAAGCCAATCTCTGAAATAACAAGATGCTTTAGACCCTGGCTATAAAGCGAGCTTCCCACAAGAAAACCCTAACTGGTTTTCTAAAACCCTAACTACCCTAACAGTAGCTGCCCCCAAAACAGCACAAGGGAAGGAAGGCGGCATACTATCTTCTATTTCCAGATTGCAACTGGAAAAGCAAATGCAGGAATACTGCACTGACCAAGGTTTGTGGCAGCATTATAAATGGGACAAGAATATGATCTCCAATCCCTTTGGTCAAGTCAACTTGTTTCTTGGTTCTTACTGCTACCTGCACAGGGGACTGACAGGAACTGTTGGTGAGGACTTCACAGACATTCATGGGAATGTGGTGGGGTTGATAATTTAGGGACCCAGAGCTTGCAACTGTGAGGTCAAGTGGTTTGGCTCAGCCAGTGACTCCCACAGAGGATTGTATTAGCCCATGAGGGGGAGCAGTAGTGAGAAGCTGGTACTGAAGCAATGAAGCATGAGTCAGGTGGATGAACGGTCTGTTTGGATATTTTAAATAAGTAGAGGCTGCTGTTTGTGAAGAGCTGTGTGTGCAGACTGCAAATAGTCTCTATCACAGTTGAAAATGTGGTGATTCATTGTGGTCACCGTGTTTCTACCACCACTTGTTTTCTTCCTTCTGACTTTCCATTCTCCTCCTTATTTCATTGGGCTTTTTGTTCCCTGTTCCTTCCTGGGCCTTGAGAGTCCACAGCAGACAGTCATGTCATCTTCCTCGGCCCCATACACATGGCATGTGGAAGAAATTCAGTCCCCTGAGTGCTGTTTGTTGCTGTTTTTCATCTGTCGAGCATCAGTAACCTGTATTTTTGTCTCCTGTAGACAGTCTGTGAGAGGCCTGCAGCTGCTGAGGAGTAGTCACAGGTCCTAGGAGGCTGTCACTGGACTCCTCTTCCTCCTGCTAGGCAGGTCGTGCATCTGTGGGTCAGAGAAGAATAATCAGGATTTGAAACATGTTCAAAGGAAACTTGGAACATAAAACTTGGCAACATCACCCAGGCAATTGGTGCTAGAATCTGACTAACTCCATTCTCTCGGGCGCTCTGCCAGTCTCTGATGTGGCCTTTGCATATTTTCAGACATAGATAAGTTAAAATACTAAAAAATATTTTTCAGTCTGCCACCATAAGCAGCTGAAAGATTGTGTGAAGCCCTTTAATTCAGGACTTTACAGCATGGTAAGTACAGCCTTCTTTTTTCTTTTTTTTTTCCCTAATATCTGCAGAGAGGGCATTTCAGAGGTTCTGAACTCAGCAGAGCTCTATTACCAGGCAAAGGCAAGAAACTTATCATCTAGCGTATTTTCAAATGGCTGCCCCAAACACCTCCCTTCAATAAAAAGTCCCACATGGAAAATCCAGCTACATCTTTCACCTGGAAATTTCATAGTTATACTTTACATTTTCTTAAAATCTATCATAGCTTAAAATAAAATGTTGGATGTCTAGAAAATACTTCTTTAGCCAGCTGAAAAAGCCAAAAACTTTGACCAGCACTGGCAGGAAAACAAGCGAGCAACTACAAGAGCAGCTCTGGGGGCTGAAGAAACATTCCAAGTATGAGAGCCAAATGTACGAATGGCCCAAAGTTTCTAATACTGACTCAGTAAAGCAGCCTCAACTGTAAACATACCGAAGAAGTGACCAATCGATACTGGTGAATTAAATTAACCTGAATACATGGATTTAGCTTACAAAATCAGCAATAGCTTATCCCTGGCACAGAGTTGCCATGGCTAGTGAGCTGTTACTGTAAGCATTTGTTGTGACCATAGCACGGAGTAAAGGTAAACAGCACAGCGCTGTTGTATCAGTGGTGGCATAAGAGACACGATGGTCAAACAAACTGGAGTGCTTGGGAGGCACATACAGCTGCTGATATAGCTGTCAGTCTGTTAAGGGATAAGAATAGGGGGCATTCACATTTACCAGATGAATTTTATACCTACTCAGGCAGAAACTATACGCTGACCAGAAGCAAGTCCTGCTCTTGAGATACTAACAGCCTGATAATGAATGGTGCCTCGCTTCCAAGCCACTCTGTAATTTCACAGCAATTCTGGATATTCCCATCATGCTCACATTTCCCATCTTTCTGCGACAGAACAACCCTCTGCTTCTGGTCACCCAACTCAGCCCTACTGCCTGTCAACCAACACAGGCCTCCATAGGCTGCTGCATTACGTCCCTCCTCCCATCCCTTAGAGCTCCCAGCTTTTAGGATTGTACCTGTTGAATGCAATGCACTCTCTACTTCTTCCACCAGCATGTCCTATTCTTTGTTGCTGAGGTCCAGAGGCTTCAGCTCTGTGGAACGATGTCATGGTGTAGGGCTTGGCTGGCCAGAAGGTGCAGGGAATCTGGAGCAGCTCTCAGAGAGGACGAAGTTGAAGTCTTTCAGATCGTATGGCTTTTAATTGCTGTGGTATCGGCTGATGCTTGGGTTGATATTCCGTTTCTGCAGGCTCTCAGGAATTGGCAAATTGAGTCTGCCTTACTTTTTATGTTCAGATCTGCATGTGTATTTTCTTTGCTTCAGAGTACACTTAGGGAGCTGGTCTCAGTTTGGCATAAATTGCTCTAAGTATCTATTTCTCTTACAGAGTAATTACTCAACAGAAGTGGATGGTGACTAATGCTAGTGAATACCTGCTATTTTATTGAGGATGTTGGCACCTACTTGCTTAGAGTTTTGTACTGTGAGACAAGTAGCAAAGGGATAGGTACAGATAGTGCCTTGACTATGCCACCAAGTTCTGACAAACAGTCCTACCAAACACACCTTGAAGTCCTGCTAAACCCATTTGGGCAGATGCTGCTAGCTGATCACCTCTACCTAACAGTAAGACAGAGCTATCAGCCACATGAAACCTGTCAGCCTTGCCAAACTTTTGCTCACCCACCTGACTGAAAGAGATCAGCAGCACATTTTGCTGCCAGGCAGGAGAGCCCTGGGGGTGGAATCTCCCACTTAACAGCCTGTTTGAAAAGTAATAAGAATTGCGTGGATGGGCGTGATACCAGCTCAAGAGATTTCATCTCTTTCGCATCTCCTATTGCACTTATAAATGAAACCTTAAGCCTATCGATGTATCACATTGAGGAACAGGTGAGGGATGGAAATAAGAAGAGATATTAATTAGACGTGAAGTAGCCTTACCTATTAAGGTATGAAATACAGCAGCTACAGCGCCAGCCACAACCATGCAGAACACTGCTTTGGTCCTGTCTCTCTTGCTGTTCACAAACACCAGACCTACATTTTTGAAGTCACTCATCGGACCCGTGAAGAACTTCATCAGGGAGTACGCCAGCCCATAGCTGGCCAGCATTTCCACAGCATCTTCCTTGACAGCAGCGATGCCCCTATTCAAGGCCTGTTGAAAACAGAAAGAGAAAATAATGTAGCACATGTGGAAGTGTACCAAAAGCAATCTTCTGCAGCTGGTTTCTGAAGGAACAAGCAAGATCAGCTCTCACTGTTTTCACCCCGAGTTGAACCTTATTTCTCTGGG